TCCCTGTGTCAGCTCTCTGGTGTCAGGGCTCACTTTTTCTGCCCCTTCTGCAGGCAGCCAGCCTCCACCTTTCTGACCTTCCTAACCTTTCTGGTGCAGCTTCTCCTTATTTAGGTGTGGAGTTTGTTCTGCCAATCTTTGGATCGATCTCTGGCTCATGGACTTGGATATGGATGTTATGCAGTTGAAAACATGGGACAGGGTGAGCTCAGGGTCTGCTTGCTCTGCTATTATTAATTTTTTAAATGTCTTATTATTTTGGATTTTTGAGACATGGGCTGACTCATATCACCCGTGCACTTCACGATTAGAAAGGAACGTTCCCACATTTGCTTCTAGTATTTTGTGTTTTGAAACTCTCTTTAATGAGGTATAATTTACATATAACAGCCTCAAAGGGTATGATTTGATGAGACTTGTTCTCATGGGTACAGCACCATGAAGTCATATTGTTTCTCTCTAAACCTTAAATCATGATCCCTTTGTGTCTTGTGCTAATGTTGCTTTTGAAGTAAGGACTACATTTATTTTTTACATTTTCAGATATTGCCCAGGTGTCTGAAGGCCTGCACTAGGGTACCTACCTCCTCTTCTGATAGACTGTATTCCCATAAGTATTGCAGTCAGTATACCTTTGGACTTTATCCTGTGTTGTATCTTTCAGTCTGTTCACTTAATTTTGTTGCATTACTTTAATGCGGAGGGATGCATAATTGGATTGATTTTCACTAAATGGTCGAGTTGCAGTTCCAGTCATGACAGAAAGCACGTGCCTCCTGTGTTATGTACTCAAGAGCAAGGCAGATATCCCAGGCACTTGAGCTGAGTATGTCACTCTGTCTTTTTGCCAGCCCTCTTCCCTTCCCTGGGAGACAAGGGTCTCGTTTTGGTCACACAGAATTGTAGGTGAAGTCAGCAGAGAAGCGTCCCTTCTCTTCTGTTCCCTTTGTCTCTCAAACTCCCTGTCGCTACCTTCCTCCTGTCCCTTTCCCTGACTCAATCCCCAGGCCCACTGCTCCACTCCAGCCATGATCAGGGTGTCCTCCAGCTGCTGGCCTCTGCTTTGGCCATCGCTCAGTGAGGAAACTGCAAGAGGATTATGTAGTTCATGGGTCTGATCAAGAAATCTCTGCTCCTCAGAGTCCTCCTACACGTGGTGCTGTCTGTGGAGACCTGGCATCCTGGGCGTTGGTCTGACCCTCATTCCTCTCGACAGTCACTGCTGGTCCCTCATCCTTCTCCACCATTAGAACTCAGTCATTTCCTAGGGACAGATACCTGTCTGACCCCAAGGCACCATGGAGTCAGGGAATATTACCAAAATAATTGAGCATAAGCACCCCATCAATCTATAGGAAGTTCCCATCACCCCGGAAAACTCCCTCAGGCTCCCCTGCACAAAGGGTGATCTTGCTTCTACCCTTCATCACCACCATTTCTGCCAGTTTGTTACCTGTGTGTACAGGGACCCCACTGTGTGCACTCGAGGAGGAGTGAGAGTAGATGGCCCTAGAAGCAGATGCTGACACAGAGGCAAAACGATGAAAGGTGGATTATGGGACAGTAGGAAGGACAAAGTGGAGGGGACATGATGGGCAGGGAAAGCATTCAGGTAGATCTGACACCTTCTTAAAATGTATATATAATCACCATAGTCTATCACCGTGCACTGTCCTCTTCAAATTTCAAAAGAGTTGTCCTATAGAGCAAAGAGATTTTGGTTTATTTCCCTCTGATCTTATGTTTTCCTAATGTATTCTGTCTTCTGTAGTTTGTCTGTGGCCTCAGATGAACACTTTAGTGTGTGGCTGCATCTGTGAGATTATGTGTAATAGAAAATGATTGTCTTCAGATCTAGGTCTCTGAATGTACACATTCTCATAATTATCTTTTCTTTCATTGTGTGGCAGGGCCCGCATTCTAATAGAATAACGAGGGACACTGTCTTATTTTTTTAAAACAGTGATTCCCACTCCCTGGGCTGAGCTGTTAACAGTCTTAGTTTAATGAACTCCCATGACCATCTTTTTTGGAGGATCATTGTGTGGAGATATCTTAATGGAAACTGTGAGAAGCGTGAGGGGACACTTCCCAGAGATTTTGCAGATGCTTTATGTATTGAATGTCTTCTTTTTCTCTTGTTCTTAGAAACAAATATTACCCCTGTTTTCACAGATAACACAACTGAGGCTCTGTGTAGGTCCCACTGAGAACTGGTATTAGGGCTGAGACAGCAGGAACACAGGCAAATCCTCAGGATATTGTGAGAGAAGTTTGAGGGGATGCAAAGCTGTAGTCAGGGTGATGACAGGGGTCCAGCAGGGGTGGCATCTGGCCAGCCCTGAATTGTAGGATGACTCAGCTGATCTAGACCCTGTCTCCACTTTTAGTCTCACTGAGGGATATGAACGTGGGCATACAGCATTTTCATAAGACCAAGTTAAATTCCCCATATCTCCAGAGCTTTTTTTCCCCCACAAATATCCAGAAACTTCAGGAAAATCCAGGGAGACAACAACCTTTTTAGACGATTACCTGCGTGCACTTTGACAAGACACTGACATTTTCGAGATGAACGGTGCGTTGTGCACTAAGAGCGATCCCACATAGTAGCTCCATATGGACCTCACTCTCCCTGCTCAGGCTGTGGCCAGGAATCACCTCCAACTGTATCTCACTGACCCCAAAACCCTCCCCTCTGTACCTCCTCAAACTCTGCTTAGTGTGCTCAACTTCCCTTCTATTTCTGTATGACTCAAGGTTCCCCCTTTTTTGCACTGGATCCTTCACTGGTGTTTCCATTATGGTGATCACAAGGTCTGCATCATTTAATGAATGTCTCTCTTCCACACAGGACACCTGATGCTCTAAATGTTAGAGGTGCACCTCATTCTTTACAGAACCCAAAACGTTGTGTCTCCAAAATACGCACCAGTACTGCTGATATGTCTGCTTTGTGTAAAAAATCCTCTTTCATTTGACAAGAGAAACGTATAGCTCACTGTATTACAGGGGCATGGCACTGCTCATTGTATGTATGTCCTGAGAAACTTGAGATATGCTACAGTGTCCTCAGGCAGTTTGTAGTTAGATTGCCAAGACTCACAACCATCTCTACATCATTGCCACAAAGTCAATCATGAAGAAGATGAATATACTTTACCAGCATTTCATCCAGTTCAGGTCATCTTAACAAATAGAGTAGGTGGAGGAGAGGGATGTGGCCTATAGCCCACGACTGGTGGTGAAGGGTGGTCCATGGGGTACACCCTGCAAAGCAATCCTGGGAAAGGACCAGGCCCTCTTACATACAAAATAGCCTGCAGAAAAGAAATGAGAGGTATGTTCTTAGGACAGAACAGAGCACCAACACCAGCAAAAAGAATAAACCCAAAGAAGCAGTGCTCGTATCCTACTAGCTTCCCCACCACCAGGTTCCAAGAGGGCAGCATCAGCGCTAAAATCTCTACCCATACTTTGGGTTCCACTTACAGCCTTGGGGTGGGGAATGGATGTGATTGGGATAAACTAGTGTCTCCACGTGTCTGGAAACGTAGAAACATCAAGGGCCCTTTTCCTAGAAGATGTATAGACTGCAAAACAAATTAACAAAGTAGCATATTCCAGAAAGGAAGATATCTGTGTCCAGGATCACCCTCCACCCTTCATCCCCCTCCACCACAGAGGCTGTTTATTGTGTCTGTGAAGAACTACAGAATGAGAAGGAATGAGAATGCCAGTGTCCACACATGGAATCATAGCCCTCGTGGCTCAAAGCTCTGCCTCTAAGCCCCTGCCTGTGCCCAAACTACTTCTGTCCCAACAATGGGGTCTCCTCCTCTCTGGAAGTGCTATCCATGGGCACAGAAACACATGGGGATATGGGGATCCTGAGGGCCTGCAGAGGACCTGGGAAAGCATGCTGTTAGAGAAACAGGTAACCTGTACATGTTAGTTGGGTTCAGCTAATTTATTTTACTTCGGAGGTACTTCTCGGTTTAAGTGCAGTACACTTTGCAGGGTAATTGTGTCCTCTGGAAAAATGAGCTGAAATTCTAAAAGACAAAATTAACACAAATGCACTTTGATGTCTGGTGTAAGTTTCCATGTTTTAGCTGTACCTGTGACACAGGACACGAGAGAATGTGCTCATGTGAACACAAGTGAAGGACACCGTGGGGACTTGCCACACAGGTAATTTTGGATTTTTTCTCTTCACAACTTAAGTTTCAGTGCATGTTTTCTATGACAAATATGCCACCTCTTATAGTTCAGAGTATTTGTGCCAAGGGCACACCTTGAAGGGATTCTGGATAGCATGTTTACCAAAATGCTGATGGGTATGAAATTTACTTTGTCTAAGACCATTCTAAATGACACATACAAAAGTATAAGTTGGAGTGAAGGCAGTTCGCATTTTCAAATTGTAAGGATACCCACAGATTTTTCTGAGCACGTTAAAACCCTTGATAGAAGGAAACAGGAGAGGAATAAACAGCAAGAGCAATGATTCCACATTGAGGAGATCCACAAAGAATGAGGCAATGTAGGAGACTTCCAAGTGGAATGTGGTGTCATCCTCTTTGATTTATTCCAGAACACATTGGAAAAGCCCTATGGTCCCCACCCTTAGGCACGCTTAGCTGCTCAACTTACCCCAAACAGATGCCAGGTGGAAAAAAGGGAAGCCCATAGACTCGGGGGTAAAGGTTTTGCACTTGGGAAAAAAAAAAAAAAAAACAGCAGACACACCATACGACACACAAACCAGAGACAATGGCAGGAGAGTGTCCTGTACAGAAAGATGTGGCTGTCCGTAAAGACTTAGAACTGAAAATGGCCACAGCATTTACTTTGTGCTTCTCGGCAGTTTTGGCAGAGCCAGTGTTGATGTCACTCTTAGGTGTGACACCTGCTCCTGGACCTGCAAAAAGCCCTAGAAGGGATGGAGGTTTATTCTGACTTGAGTAGACTGTTTCGAGATCAAAAACAAAAACAAAAGACCCTCCCCTCATACTTTCGACAACTTAAACTCTTTGCCCAGTGAGATCCCAAATCACATGCATAGGGTGTCCCACATGCCTCAGGTGATCCTCAAGAAGAACTTGAAGAACCATCCCTTATAACTTGATGAAGACTCCTAAAAGCCCTGATTCAGATGTATTCATCACTCAGCAAACAACTATGGATGGCTTGGGAGCACAACTAGATGGACATACGTTACGTTGTGCCTCATGCCTCACAGATCCCGGCACGTGGACTGTGTACAGGGCATTTCTCCTGAAGCGCTATGTCTGCTTTTCTGAATATGGCCCCATTCCTTCTCCACAAGAGATGCCTGTACCAACACATGGTGGGGGAAATGACAAAGATGAGATCCTGAGAAACTTGAGAAATGTGGTAATGGCAGCAGACACATTCCCCTTGCATCACAATGGTCTGTGGTACCACCTCTGCACCTTGGCCCAAGACCTAACAGCAACAAAAATAAGGTGAGTGTACTTTACAAGTCAACTCCTAGTGCTTAGTGCTCAGATCATCTTACCAAGTGTTTCAGGTGGAGGAGTTCCAGGTGGCCCCAGGGCCACCAGGGTTCAGGAGGTGGATGTGCCTAATAGTCCATGGGGGCAGGGCATCTCTAGGGTAGGGCATGCAGAATCGTCCAGTTAATGGAGGAGGTACTCAGGATAAGTTCCAGACTCCCCTGCAGAACAGAAGTGACAGCTACATCCATATGCCAGACAAGAGAACAAATACCAAAAGCATCTGTAACCCAGAGAAGAAGGTGTCAGCACCTGCCACCTTCTCTGCCACCAGGATCCAAGAGAGTAGCATGAGTACCTGAAAACTCTGTCCCTGCCACTGGATACCACGTACAGCTTGGGGTAGTAGATGCAAGAGGTTAACCTATTGCCACCACACATCATTGCCCATGTCTGCGGAAGTAAAATGGCAAGGGTCCTGTCCTAGAGGGTTAACAGAAGTAATTACAGACTAATGAAGTAGCATTCTCCAGACAGGCAGCCATCAATGTCCAGGTTCACCCTGCATTCCTCCTCTACAGTGACTCCACATGCTCTGCTTTTGGTATATTAATAACACACAAAAAAATGAGTGGGAATACACGGCTCATATTCTGCTCATGGAATCACAGCCATTCCTGGCAAAACATTCTGCAGTCGGACGCTCGCTGTGCCTCCTCTGCTCCTCTCCCTGAGAAATGAGTCTTCCCTCTTGAAGTATTGTCAAAGGCCTCTGAGACCTCTGGGGAGTGGAGGATGCCTGGAATCTTGCAGGGGAATGAGAGTCTTCTGTGAAGAACGAGTTACTTGTGGCGAATGTCTACAAAGCTCAGATGTGTTCATCTTAATTCATAGGGAATTCTGACTTTAAGCATACTAAAGGACACAGAGTAGTTATGTGCAATGGAAAAAAAAAGAGGGAGAAATTAACATAACAGATTTCATGTAAGTGTTTTTGGTATAAAACTCGTGGTATGTGTCATGAGACTGTATCAGCTCTAACAGTGACTGGGGACACAACCAGAAACTGCTCATAGAAACACAATTGAAGGACACAGTGTTCAAAATATTTTTACCTAAGGTATAGCTGGAAGGATTCCAGGCAAGTCATTTACCAACAAAGACAGGAAGGTGATGAGTGATGACATTGACTTTATCTAGGACCACTCTAAATGGCACAGGGCACAAAATATAAAGTTGGAGTCATGATGTCGTTTCTAACAGGTTCATCTCCTAGCCAGAATCAAGAAAGGAAGACACAGAAGCCACACTGTTCCCACAGAGGTGAGGTCTGGAAGGGGTCACCCAGGCCAGGAGACTTCTGTTTGGAGTGTGCAGTCATCCTCCTCTCATTATTTCCTGAAACTCACGGAAAACCTTAAGGTACTCAGTCTCTAAGCGCTTTTGGCTTCTAAACTTACCACAGAAAGCTGACAGACTAAAAATTGAGAAGGCTGTGGGCTCCTGGGTTATGAGTGTGTGTTTCGAAAACAAAGAACAAACAGACATATCACACAACACGCAAAACGAGACAAGGCCGGGAGAGTGTGCTGTACATAAAGATGAGGGTTTCCCAAAAGAGTTACAACTGAGAATGGCCCCAGCATTTACCTTGTCCTTGTCTGCATTCTTGGTACAGCCAGAGCCACTGTAACTCACAGAGGTTTCAGCAGTTTCTCGATCTACTAAAGACCCTAGAAGGGACAGAGGTTTATTCTGCTTTCAGAGGGCTGGGCGGAATGAAAACAATCCCTCAACTCATTCCTCAAATATCTTAAACTTTTCCCTACAGTCAGGTCCCTGACCAGAGGCAGAGGGTATCCCACATGCCTCAGGTGACCCCCAAGGATAAGGGGGAGAACCATCCCCTCACCTTGATAAAGACCTCACGGTGCCCTAGTTCATGTTGTTTTGTAATTAATCACATAACTGTGGACAGGTCAGGCACAACTAGCAATTTAGAATTCATCAGTAAAACAGAGGTTTCTCAGTATACATCATGGGAAATCACGATATCATTAAAGATCAAGAATAAATATGAGGATGCTTGGATTCAGCATCCGACTCTTGATTTTGGCTCAGGTCACGATCTCACAGCTTATGAATTCAAGCCCAGCATTGGGTTCCTCACTGACAGTGTGGAGCCTGCCTGGCATTCTGTCTCTGCCTCTCTCAAAATAAATAAATTTAAAAAAAAGAATAAAATTGAGAATACTGGTTTGGTGGATATCCTCAATCCTCAAGAAGGGTGCATTTCTTCAGACATCAGGCGAATTGTTCAATCTCTCAGCTTATCTACAAGCTGCCTTCCACATGAGAGCAATTAGTATATAAGGAAAGACTATTTTACACTGTTGAGAAAAGGAAAACTGTGAGAAGTTAGCAGTGAAGCTGCAGAGTTGCACTGATACCATCAGATGACTAAGCTAAGCTCTATGGAACTTGAATTGAGGGATGTAGGGCTACAGTTCCCAAAAACAAACAAAAATAAAGGCCGTTAAAACTAGTGAACAAATGACCTTATCCTCAAATAAACTAAAGTCTTCACATGGAGTCTGGGTGGGAAGAAGGATGAGGCCCATGTCCTGTCATCCTTTCCAGGCTCTTCAGACAGGGGGATGCTAGAGGATGTGGGAGGGTCACAGTCAGAGGAGGGGCATGAGCTCCACCAGTCACAGGGACAAATGCCTCACTGCCTGCGGCACCAGAGAAGAACACCCTTCTGTCACCCCTTCAGACCATCTGCCATCCTTAGTGCTTGTGATTCTTTCCAGACCACACGATGATAACCCACAGGAACAGGCTGCACAGCAGAAATTAGACTGCGGTACATCATAATGTGCTCCTTACCTCTCCTTGGAGGGTTCTACATCTCTGGTCTTGCAGCCATTGGTTTCTGCCTAATGTATCCCTCTTTGCTTCCATCCCGTCCAGTTTTGGATATAGAAAAATAATGGACATCTATAAGAGTTGCAACATCACGTCGTCTACTAGACAACAAACAGTGCAGGCGTCATCCCTGGAAACACCCATAAAAACGCAAGTCAAATGACCACACCTGTATTTCAAGTAAGTGACCTTCCTGCCCTGCTCCGCCATCTCCCTGTCCCAGATATGAGTCTTGATCTGGGGGAGAAAAAACACATCCACCTTCCGTCGTGTCAGACTGTGCACCAAAGAAAGAGGAGGAAACAAGAAAACACTTACCTAGTTGTCCTGAGCATTCTTCTCATGAACTGCGAGCTGAAAAAGCCAACAATGAAAAGCCCATGGTTAGGGATTCCAAGAGCCACTACACTCACCCGCATGAGGTGCTAAGAGTTCAGTATGTCAGGCAGAACTTAGGTTACCTGGTATCTAAAGGTGAGCTCTGCCTGCTGCAGCTGTTCCCATGTTTGTTCAATTTGTTGCCTGTGAGTTACAGTTGCTCATGTCAGATAAGGCCCAATATTGGGTATGATTTTAAATAATCTGCCCACGTTCACATCAACCTCATATCTGTCCCCTGATACAATTTAGTCTTAAACATAAAACACTTTTCACATGATTATAAATGTACAGCAGGATCAAAGCTATTGTTACATCCTTTCCTTACTCATTATTCCATCCCTATAGGGTTCAGAGTTCATAGAATTCCTTGCCACTTTCAATCTTTCCCTAACTCATCATGTGACAAGTGTCTTTTGTCATAAAGCTCTATTCTTCTATAACTTATATCCTCACCATGTTATCCAGGGTTGCAAAGACAAGGGCCATGAAATGGCACTACCATGTTGATGGGTATGATTCATTGTACGATACACTGCTTTCCTACAGATTATGACAATTGACACCAGCCCCAAGGAATGTTAGCATGGACAAAGTTTCCACACAGTCTTGCCAATACTTGAGATCTGCAAATGTTTAGAAACTTAATTGTTTTGTTCTTTCTAAACTTACCTTTTTTATCTGTTAATACTCTATGCGTATGTCCTCTGAATTTTTGTTTATATTACTATGTTGACTTTAAACATTGCAAAAAGTTTAAAAACAAAAAAAAATGAACAGAGGTTTCATGAGCTGCTGGTAATTAGTAGCTGAATTCACTTGTACTTGTTTATTTCTTCTGTAGCTATTTTCTTTTTTTTTTAATGTTTATTTATTTTTGAGACAGAGCACACACATGAGAGGGGGAGGGAAAGAGAGGTAACAGAATCCGAAGCTGGCTTCAGGCTCTGACCTGTCAGCACAGAGCCTGACGCAGGGCTCAAACTTACGGACTGTGAAATTAAGACCTGAGCTGAAGTTGGACACTTAAACAACTGAGCCACTAGGTGTCCTTTCTGTAGCTATTTTCAAATTTTGCCTGCAACTGCCAGCTGAGTCTTCTTTGCCGACAGTTCACAGTGTCATTTCCAGCTTCCTAAGATGGGAAAGATGTATACACAGTCAGGACCAAGGTCCAGAATTTCCCCCTTTTTACCTCCCAGCATTCTTGAAGGCCTGTGCGAACATCCCTTCCCCCACCTCTCCCAAAAAGCACAGACTGACAATTCAATCAGAGAAATGAGCACCCCATTTAAGTAAAGGAAATTCAACTTCTGTCTGTTGCCACGTCTTTACTATCAGAACTGTCTTTCTAGTTCTCTGTTTCCTCTCCTTTATCATAAAATCATCAAATAACACTGCACTTTGTACCTTCCCAGAGTTGGTCTTTTGTTTGAGATGGTGAAGACTCATTTCATCAGTGAGTCAAAAACCATGCCTGACCAGCTGTACCCATTAGGATGAAGCAGGGGATCATGACTAGTCTTACACCTCCGTGGGGAGCCCCAATTCTCAGGCCAAAAGTTGTACCATGACACAGACAATCACCCTGAAAGACGACCTTCCAGGATATGGCTTCACCAACATTGCAGCTCACTCCCAGACATCGCTAGAGTTCAGGACTGCAACCCCTGCATCCACCTTCACCTATCCTGGTGGAGGAAAAGGCCAATCTTAGAGCAACAACATCTGAAATACAAGTTGATATGAAGTGTCACACAATTTGGGTTTATTTCCAGGAAACAGATTTCAGATGGAAAACTCTCAACTTCATGGAGCCAAATCTACTTTAACAAGACTGATTCCATTAATAGTGAAGACAGCAAAAGGCAATGCATGGCAAGGCTGCATTGCTTGTTGCCCTCAGACTAATTTGTTTGTGGTGTTGATTGAGACGGTTTCAACCTGACACTTGATGTACTCAAGAATCACGTGCAAAATTGAAAATTTCTTAGAAAGAGACACAAAATCATTAGAGAAAGGCACATGCATTGCCTTCTGGCCTTCAGCAAATGTTTTCTGGAGTGGTTGTAATGTAGTGGCTCTGTTGTAAGGGGTTGAAGATAGAGAGGTGGTCAGGGTGCTGTACCCACTCACAGAAAGAGCTTACGAATTAACAAAAACAAGATGCCAGTGAGACAGAGCAGGCCTTAAGCCCAGGTGTGGAAAGGACTAACATAAAGCTGAGTCTCCAGGGAAGAGAAGGAAGACTTCACTTTCCAACATGAGTGAGGGACTCTAACATCCCCGATCTCCTCTTGAGAACAAAAGGAAATACTGTACATTGTGATGAGCACTGGGTGTTGTATGGAAAACAATTTGACAATAAATTTCATCTATAAATTAAAAAAAAGAGGAAATACTGTACAAAGGAGGAAAGATGTGACTGAATGCACCAAATATCTAACAACCCCACGAAGACACATAAGACCAAGATGGAAAAGAAGGAAGCCCAGGACAAAGCCAGACTGGCAGTTGGACCCAAACTCCCTAGAACTCATTGTTCATGTGGGGGGCATACATTTGAATGGCAAAGAAGCTGGGCGACTTTATGGGCACAGACTTAGAAGTAAACAAGTGTAGTTCAGGGACGGCCAGCAAAGACGAGCCCTAGTGAAGCTGCAGGCTTTGGCCAAGACTCAGAGGAGTTACACTTAAAAAATCAGAGGACAGGAAACAACTTGACTTTCTTAGGGATTGGGACTGCAGTGAACAATGTCCCTGGCAGAATGGATGCAGGGATCCAATACTTTTGGCAACCCTACCCACTTTCCAGAAAGTAACTTCTATTACTTTTACTATTACTCCCACTATTACAAGTGGGAGTGCAAGCATGACCTACTTTATGTCCTAGCCTTAACCCTAACACTAACCCAAATACCAAAATCTAAAACTAACAACTAACCCTAACCATAACCCTAATACTAAAATCTGTCCCTATCCCTACACCTAAACCCAACCCTAACCCTACCGAACAGTGAAAATAACATAACCCAACTAACCCTAACCTTGACCCTAACCCTCTAACCCTAACCCTATAATTCTAACCCTAAAACCCTAACGCTATGCTCTAACTCTACCCACTAACCCTAAAATTATAAAACCTAAAACTTCCCCTACCTAACCATAAAACCCTAACACTGACCATAACGCTAACCCCTAATTCAATCCCCTAACCCATAACCCGAACCCAAGTCCTAGATCTAGACCTCACATTATCCCTAAACCTAACACAAACCCTAACACTAATGCTAACAACTAACCCTTAACCCTACCATCTAACCATAACCCTAAATCTCACCCCAAACCATAACCCTAAACCTAAGCCTAACCCAAGCCCAAACCTAACACCTAAACCTAACTCTAACTCCAAACCCCGCATCCGCACTGGTGAAGTCCCTGGACAGAACATTAAACCTAGTTAAGGATCTCTCTGGATGGGGACCCAATTCCTATCTCTGAGAACACCACAAACAAATGGCCCAAAGTGGTGCACACTTACTCGGCATGGAACATCGAACATCACCATGACATTTCCAATGCCCGCATGGAGCTGCACAAGGGGGTTCATGAGGCCCAACTGAAGATGGCACACACACGAGGCTGGCCCTGGCACACAAAAACTAAGCCTGAACAGCCTGCTTTGATGAGGCCTACACTCAATCCTCTGGGGAGACCACTACCCTGCTGGAGTTTCAGCGCTTGGAGCTTCCTGTGACCTAACCCTAACCTTAACTGTGACACTCACATACCGCTCAAACTAAACTTCACCCTAACTCTAAACCTAACCCTACACATGACCCGCAACCACGCATGGACCCTCATTCAGTCCTCCAGGGTGATCACAGCACTGGTGTCGCTTCGGCCCTGGCAACGTCCATGGAACGAACCTTACCCTTGGCTAAAGCTTTCTCCTAATGGGGACCCAATTCCTAAGTCTGAGGATATGACGGACATGGGGCCCAGAAGCGGAGGAGGATTATGCGGCATAGAACCTGGAACATCATCATGTCATTTCCAAAGACCAGAAGGAGCTTCACAGGGAACTTCTTCTGGCCTAACTGAGGAGTGGTCCTGGCACCCAAATCTCAGCCTGACTGGGACCCTACCTAGACCACTGCCCTACTTTGTCAATAAGACAAAGATACGCTTTTTCTATTAAAATTCAGGCCATACCAGATGAAGAAAGAAAAGATAATTATGAGAATATGTATATCAGAGATCTACATCTGATATCTGAAGACAATCCTATTCCATTACATAAAGACTCACACATGCAGCCACACACTAAAGTGTTCATCTGAGGCCACAGATAAACTACAGAAGATAGAATGCATGTAGGAAAACATAAGACCATAGGGAAATAACCCCAAATCTCATAAATCTCACTGCCTTTACGACAAGTATTTTGAAATTTGAAGAGGACTATGTGAGGTAACAGAGTATGGTGATTATATATCTTAAAAATGTGTCAGATCTGCCTGCATGCTTTTTCTGCCCACCCTGCCCTCTCCACTTTGTTTTTCTTAGTATTCTTTAATACTACTTTCACTGTTCTGTCTCTGTTTCAGTGTTTGCTTCCAGGAGGACCTACTCTCACCCCCCGTCGAATGTACACACTGTGGTTCCTATACACACAGGTAACAAACTAGCAGAAATTGCAGTGATGGAGGATAGTAGCAAGATCACCCTTTTTCAGAGGAGCACAAGAGAGTTTTCTGGGGTGATAGCAACTTCCTATATCTAGATGCATGGGGTGCTTGTGCTCATTTATTATAGAAATTTTCACTGACTCCTGGTGCTTGGGGTCAGATAGAAAGGTACCTGACTCTAACATATGGCTGATTTCTAATGGTGGGTAAGGACCAGGGACCAGTAGTGACTGTGGGAGATGAGTGAGGAGGCCACACATGAGTCAGATCCTCCCCCAGGATGCCATGTCTCCACAGAGAGCAACCTTGTGCAGGAGGGCTCTGAGGATCATATATTTGTTGATCAGTCCTGTGAATTCCATAATCCTATTCCAGATTTCTCACTGAGGGATGGACAGGGCAGAGGCCAGCAGCTGGAGGACACCCTGATCATGGCTGGAGTGGAGCAGTTGGCTTGGGGGATTGTCAGAGAAAGGGAAAAGCAGAAGGTAGTGACAGGGAGTTTGAGAGATAAAGGGAAGAGGAGAGAAGGAAATGTTTTATACTGACTTCACCCACATTTCCGTGTGAACAACAGGAGATTCTTGTCTCCTGGAGGAACAAGGGAAGGGAAGAGGGCTGGCAAAAAAAACAGAATGACATTCTTAGCTCAAGTACTGTGGATATCTGCCTTGATCTTGAGTACCTAATACAGGACGCCTGTGCCTTCTGTCATAACTGGAACTGCAGTTCATACCATTTATTGAAAATTAAAGCGATGATGAAGACCTCATCATTAAAGTAGTGCAACAAAAGTATGTGAACATACAGAAAGATACAATAGAAGCAAAAGTCCAAAGGTAGACTGACTGCAATATTTATGGGAATATATACTATCGGAAAAGGAGGTAACCCAATGCAGGCTTTCAGACGCCTGGGCAATATCTGAAAACGTGAAAAAAAATTAGTCCTTACTTCAAAAGCAACATTAGCATTGGACACAAAGGGATTGTAATGGACGGTTAGGGAGAAACCATATGATTTCATGGTGCTGTACCCATGGTCCTGTACCCTCAAGTCTCATCAAATTATACCCTTTACCTTGAGGTTATTTGTTATATGTAAATTATATGTCATTAAAGAGAGTTTCAAAACATAAAATACTAGAAGAAAATATGGGAAAGTTCCTTTCTAATTCTGAAGTGTATGGGTGATATGAGTCTGTCTGCCCATGTCTCAAAAATACAAAATAATAAGACATTTTAAAAAGTAAGAATAGCAGAGTAAGTGGACCCTGAGCTCACTCTGTCCCATGTGTTCAACTACATAGTATCCACATCCAAGTCCATGAACCAGTGAGAGACCCAAACACTGGCAGAACAAACTCCACACCTAAATAAGGAGAAGCTGCACCAGAAAGGTTAGGAAGGTCAGAAAGGTGGAGTCTGGCTGCCTGCAGAAGGGGCAGAGAAGTGAGCCCTCACACCAGGGAGCTCACACAGGGAAGACTAATCTCCAGAACATTTGGCATTAAAACGTAGAGGGACTGAATTCCCTTGTGTTCAGATCCTGGAGCTTTGGAGGTCAGCTGACCCAGCACTGGCTGATCCAGGAGGATGAGTGATAGCCAGGTCCCTGCCTGTGTAGAGAGACAACGTAAACATGGCATTTTACACAATTCCCAGGCAACAGGAGACAG